TTGCTGTTGTGACTGTTTTGAAGAAAAGTCTTTCATTGGTGCCGTTTTGTTTTGTTTTTTTTTTTTTGTTTTTGTTTGTTGCTGTGCCCAAGCAGGATATTCCAAATGCCTTTTTTTTTTTTTTTTTTGCCTGCTGTCAATTTTGTCATAACTTAATGATCATTGGGCAGGCGCTACCTGTTCGGTTGACTGCGAATTAAATTAATTTTTGATATCGTTGATATTTAGCGTAATCACTACAAAATATATTTGAGGCTCACCGTCACTCTGCTCTTCCTGAATAGTGTGGTCAAAGTTGTGTCGTATGAGTATTGGGATTAATTTTATTTATTTTTTTAAAGTCTTGCTAAATTGCATAACATTCTGATCCTGATTATTTGAAGACTTCAAGTTTGGAAGTTTTATCCATTTCGTATGCATATTTAAGCATTCACATCAGTGGTCAGGAAGCGGGTCGGTGGAAAAGTGAAGAACAGTCGAGCAGATTGCGAGCCGGTCGGGCAGACGGGAAAACCAACTGGGCAACGCCGTGCAGCCGTGCAGCTGCGCCGAGACGTGCACTTTGGGAGAGCCGGAGTGCGTGCTGATTGGACTGACAGTTTGTAATCAAAGTTGATTTATTGTTCATTAGTTGTGCATTAGCCCTTTCAGGCAGGGGCGTTATTTGCGCAGTGGCCTGTCAAGAAGAGGGGCGGCCGGCACCTGTCATTTCTTAACTGCAACATTGGCCAACAGATTCGGCCCAGAGTCCCCCAGCTTGCCGGGATAGCCTTTTCAAACGTGGCCTTTGCTTTGCGGCGGAGCGAGCAAGCAAGCGGGCAGAACAGAAGAGCCGAGGCGGGGGACTCGTTGAGCAAACGCGTGTACCGCCAGCTGCTCCTTGTTGCGCTTCCTTTGATCCCCTCGCACAGAAATGTGTAGCAACTTCAAAAAAAAAAAAAAAAAAAAAAGGGAAAAAAAGCAGCTTTCATTCTGTCTTTTAATGTCGCTACTGCTTCGAGCGCATGCTTCTCACTCTTCGGCGGGATGATTTTTTTTTCCCCCTCGAGTTGCTTCGTGATGTAAAGGTTAGACATCGTCGCTGAACGCTCAGCGCACGGGGGTGAACTTTTTCACCACCCGCCTTGAATAATTCAAAGAATGTGGAGGATGGCGGCGTTATTGACAAGTCGCACCTCCCAGTGACCGTTTTTGCGCCGTTTCTCTGAATTCCACCAACGCACTAGTGAATACAAGCCGTTCAACATGAAAGAGTTGAGAAGCGGCACGATTTGTGTTCTTCTTGTCTGCCGTCATGGAAACATGGATTAGGCGTTCTTGGCTGGATGACATAAACAATCAGCGCAAGGATGTCAACCATTGTCTTTTGACTCGAGTTTCATTTGAAAGGGATTCATTGGCTGCGATCTTAATTAAATCTCAATTGACTCAAATAATGCGTCCGAAAGGCGTGCCGTTGCATCACCGCGTAGAGCCGCTTCACCAAAGACGAGACGCGCGCACTTCACGCCCAATGGTTGTGCAACATTGTCGGTAAAAGATCAAATCCAACAATAGGGATCGAATGGATGAGAGTTGGGTACTTTGGAAGACGGCGTCCATGTTGTGAATCTTATCGGGTTGCGGACTATAAACGTGGGAGGAGTTTTGGCCGACATTTTAATCGAGTCACTTGACATTTTACGTCCAAACGGGGGAAAATGAAATGAAGTACACGTTTTTGTATGTCTCCATTAATCCATTTGTGATTTTATTATTGAATCAGTCTCCCTGTCCCTGCAGTAAGCAAATACAACTTCAACGTGTGCGTTGTTAAACTGAATTCTTGTTATTTTAGATTACAGGAGTGTTTATCGAGTTTTTACAACGCATCTTAAATTGACATTTTCATAGTGTGTGTGTGTGTGTGGGAGGAGTGGGGGGGCACCGTCATGAGTAGATGAGTAGTGCCGAGAACCAGGGTGAGGCACACTGCCCAGCTGTTGTTGGGATGAGCTCACCCGCTTTGCTGAGCAGTTTGTTTGTTTAAGTCTAACGGTGGGGCCGGCAGGGAAAAAAAAAAACTGTCGAATGAAGTGAGTCAAAATCCCGTTGGATGCAGTTGCTGCGAAGCCCCAAATCCTTCTCACAGTTGCTCATTTAATGACAAACCAAATAAGTCTGTGATCCCATTTATCTGCACCGTCAACCATTTTCTGGGCTGGCTTAAAAAGTATTAGCATTGCTGTTCCTTTTTTGTGTTTTATCGTGTTTCATCATCTCTATTGTTGTATTTGTAGACATTTTTTTTCTTTTTTTATGTTTTTTTTTTCTGGGGTTGCAAATGAATATAGTTTAATTCAGATTAAAAATACTCTCGTGCACTAATCTTAAATATTAGTTTCTGACATCTTTCAGTGCAGGAGATTCAGAGTCGAATTTGCAAGTTTCCACGCTGAGCCAAACGAAAAAGGGAAATACTTGAGCTGGGCCGTTCCCTGTCTTTCATTTTTGATCCTCTAATTTTCCTGTGTGTGTTGACAAAAAAAAAAAAAAAAAAAAGTTTTTGTTTTTGCCCCCCCACCCACGTTCTCCTCTACTCCTTTGCACTAGCAGTCGTTGACCTCTCACTTGTGACTGGAGGGAGGGTCTCGGTCTCGGAATCATCTCCGTTTCCTTGCAGTCCCCGGCCCCTGTCGATGTTTTACATTTGGGATTTGGATTTTTTTGTTGTGTGGCAAAGTCCAAGAGAAATAGGGGCACATAAAATGGGGTGCTATGAAACGTTTTGACCATCGATGTCAATCTTACCTATTTTCTCCATTTTAATCATGTGACGTTATCTTGGGAAATTGGACGTGCGTAGAAACGTGTACGTGGATGTTTTTGCTCCTGTCAGTCTGCAGCTGTGCAAGAATGTTTAAGGTTTGGACGTTTATTTATGGCAGGCACCTGGAGAGTGCCGCACCTTTGTGAAATTCATAAGCGGCAGCTATTTCTGGCATCCTCAGAATGTCCCCAACACTCTCGTATTCCCGAGTCGATTACGGCTGGGCTCGTTGGAGCCCTTTCTGTGATTAGCCCGGTGCCAGTGTGGATGGGAGTATTACAAATGGCAACTGGCATCTTGCGTTTGCGTGAAATGGAAATGATACAGAATTTGGCCAGGCCAATTATTAAATATATATTTTTTTTTTAAGTGCTCCCTCCTGCCCTCCCTCTCGGTAGCGTCCCGTTTCAGGCAGATTTTCAAAACCTCCGGCACAGCATTAAACGGTAGCCGTTCCATTGATCGATAGGTTAAGAAGTGTACGACCCCTCAAGCCGCTCATGACCTCAGTCGTGTTTAGGTCATAAATAGGGAACACACGGGGAGGCTGTCATAGGCTGTTGCTCACAGCAAGCGAAAATATTTGCATCATGTCACAGCGAGATGTAAAACAAGGCGCAGAGAATTCTGCAAGCTCTCCGTGTCATTCTGGATGACGTTGGCAGATGCCGCTCAAGAGGGGCCCGTGTGTAAAAACCGGATCGTGTGGCACGTGCGCTCACTTTCCCGCCATTCAAAGCGTTTTTGTGTCATCCTCATGTGTGAGAAGACACCCTTTTAGCGTTTGTGACAAGAATGCGCACATTGTTCATGAAATTCTAAAATGCATGAAGAGGGGAACGCATATCAATGACATTCACTCCACATGACGTTTAACATTTGCACGGTTCGAAAAAAACTGGGCCGCCTGCTTGACCTTCAGAATAGCTCGTAAAAATTAGTGGTGCCAAGAGAAAAAAAAAGACCTTGTAAGAAAATGACTGTGAAATTAGAGAATTAGAAGAGGGGGTGGGGGGTAGGGGGGAGGGAGGGGTGTCTATGCAGATGACCGGGCAAGTCGTGTGTAAAACTCAAGATACACTCACTGCCTCAGATCCAATGAGGAGGTGGGGGATTCATCTCGCGTTTTCCTCCTCGCCGCCACGGCTGAAAATACGAAAAGGGGACGTGTGAGTCCGGCATTTACGCTGGATCTCATTCGAGGGCTTGAGGCTTGACAAACACAGCTCACTGGCCAAGAAAGAGCGGGATCTCACTCCCGCCTGCCGCTGTCTTCCTCATTTGGTCTCATTTATTCTCGCAGTCTTGTTTCAGCGGGCAAAAAGAAATCGGTGTTTTGCCTTCGGAAACCGACGAAAAATTGCAAATGATATGATCTTGTTTCCCGTAACATTTGAGTGACCTTGTCTGTTAGATGTTAGCTGGCCTGACATTTAAATGGGAATCATTTCTAGATGGCAAACACGATCGCGTACGGTTAAAAAAAAAAAAAAAAATCTAAGAAAATACAATTCCTTTATGCCGTTGTCAAGGAAAGGCCTTTTTAGTAGCATGCGGATAGATGCCGACTTTCCCGTGATATGGGAGCAATTAAGGCACCCCGACATCTGCGGGGCCTTTTGAGTGTCACAACAAATCAGTGGCTTTGAAGAGCCGCGCCCTCGCACCTTTCAAGAGTTTGTTTGAGGCCCGCGCGTTGGTCCGCCTGGCTCCTCCTCCGGCCCCTTTATATTGTCATAAGAATAGATCAATGTTGACAGCAACTCTGATGAAATGTTCTCACACGGCTCGTCCTGCCTGGCGTCCTCAGGTATGGCGTCTCGGAGAACATTTGCAAAATGACAAACGCTTCAGAGAAGCATCGCAGGAGATGCGAATCATTCTCGCGCTTGATAAAGGCATGTTGCTGAAAGCAGTTCGCCATCTAGTCTGCGGGCATGCGGTATCAGCGGCTGTCATCTTCTTTACGTTCCCCCTTTTCCTCTTCGAGGGGGTGAAGTGGCAAAATATTGTTGTCGAGGGCTGTTAGAATGACACCCACTCACAAGCAAAGAGCCATGCGAAACAGAGTTTGATTTTGGGGGCGGGGCCCGTCGGGTTTATTGGCTGTATCTCACCATTGTGCCTTTTGGATTGGGGGCCAACTCGACATCCTGTGGAAAACTCACTGTGGTTGTTTTTCTTTTTTCAGGTTCCAGCGTCAGTGGCTATGATGACACCTCAAGTGATAACTCCTCAGCAGATGCAGCAGATCCTTCAGCAGCAAGTCCTGAGCCCTCAGCAGCTCCAGGTTCTTCTCCAGCAGCAGCAGGCCCTCATGTTACAGCAGGTAAAAAAAAAAAAAAAACAGAAACCCCAATCATAATTTCCGTGGAACTTCAATTCTCCAAATATTTGGCGCTTAAGGAATCTCGCCATACATCATGTCATCTCCCCGTGTGTGTGTTTTGTTTTGTTTTGTTTTTTTTGTAGCAGCAACTCCAGGATTTCTACAAGAAGCAGCAGGAACAGCTCCACCTCCAGCTCCTCCAGCAGCATGGAGGGAGCAAGCAGAATAAAGAGGTAGACTGACATCACTCCAACGGCCTTGCCAGTGTGAAAAGCGTTGACCAGACAGAGAGCGCGGCAGACGCGCCTGCTCCCTCCCTCAAACCCATCTGCCTTCAGCAGAACGGAAAGGGGGAGGGGAGGTGGCAGCCGGGGGGGAGTCAAGTGCGCCCACGCCTCTGATTAGTATGTCAAACTTTCTGCTTTCATGGCTGAGTGATGGTGGATTGCACTTTTGGAAAAGTTTTTCGTTTCCCCGACTGGTATTTTCCTTGCTTTCCATTCTTACTAAACAAGTGCACGACACAACAAAGACATGAGCGCTCCTGAGAGTCGTGTGCAGGAAATAATGAAGGGCAGGGCGGGGAGGAACGTGGGATAAATCTGAGAGGCTTTTCTTGGTAATTAACATGGAAATGGCAGCGGATGAGAAGGCATGTAATTGTGAGATATCAGTGCGGCGAGCGCTCCCAGCTTTGTTGTCTGCATTGAGGTTTTTATTCCCCCCCCCCTCTTTTTCGTTTGCACTCTTCTGCTCCCCGCCAGTACAGCGGGGCACGCTCGTAGGCAGCAGCTTAATGCGTGCTAATGATTGGCAGATACAGGCATCGCGACGGACAAAGCAAATGATTGCGCGGTCAGAAAAGGTTCAAAGACAATCAGGGAATTTTCACTCGTCCCCATCGAGTTGAGTGTTTGCAGGGGAGAGGAAACTCGGAAAAGGGAGCCCGTGTTAAAAGCGGGCACGTGCGCGCGCAGGCCCGCGTGCTGTCAAAGCTCGCGGCTTCAAAGTCAAAGCTCCCTAATTAATGAACTGTGGGCTTCAGTTTGGACAAGTTGTGGCGCGATGCGCCCATAAATCAACATGACAGCGCGGCTCCTCGGCCTCAGATAGGGCCTGTCACTAAGTCGCATCTGATGTAAACACAAGAGGAGCAAGTGAGACAAAAAGAAAGGGGTGGAGGAGCCAAGGAGGGCCAATTGATCAGTTGAATGGAGCGCCAGAATAGAAGACGGCAGAAAAAAAAAGAAAAACTTTTGAAGCATATTATGTATGATCACAGGAAATAGATGCGACCCCGTGAGGCTTCCCCTCTCTGCTGCCTCTCTCTTTCTCTCTCTTTTTTTCTCCAGTGGCATTTCTAGAAGCCATCAAAAGACAGAATAAGAATGATGCTGTGACTCCCTAGTGGCTGGCAGACAATAACCCCCTGTTGTTGCTTTGTGCCCCCCTGTTTTATTTTAAAGACATGAAAATTTCGTTTTTCAAAGCTCTTTAACTTTATATTTGAAGCTCCACAATAAAGGCCTGCCACCGCCACTCTTTATCATTTGTCGGGGACTATATTTTTCGCTCCCTTCTGCCACTTCTTGTTAACCTCTTATTTGGTCTGTTGCTTCGGGTGGTTTTTATGTGTCTGCACGCTGGGAGTGCACAGGAGCACCCCCCCCACCCCCACCCCCGGACCAGAAGATAAAACATGCAAGGAGGGGAGAGTTAAATTAATTTGCAATACTCAGTGTTTCCTTCTCTCTCTCTCTTTTTTTTTTTTTCAGAAAAGCCAACTTCTATTTATTAAGAGTTTTGATGAAAGGCGTCGTTCCCTGTGAACTGCCACCCCCGTAGCACGATTCTTTGCATCCGACTGTCAGTGAGGAAGTAGCAGACGGCAAACCAGTAAAGAAGCCGGAAACTTCTTTCAATTCATCGCGCGGATCATAGAAAAAAAAAACGCAGTCCGTCCGTATCCCCGAACCCGCTGCGGGACCCTTGTCATGTCTTTCTCGTCTCATCTTTGGGATCAGATGGCACATTTCATCCGTGGCTCCTGTTCTTGACTGTTGGCACTTTGACGTCTTTTTACCCAAACTTGTCCCAAGTCCAAAAGGTGGTGGGTCAGAAGGGGCTTGACGCCCTTTCCACATTCGACGTATCAGGCCTTTATTTTGGAGCTGCCGTCTGGCAGCTGCTGAGCTCCAAGACTTTATTTTTGTTTGTATGCACTCAGTTGTGAGACGTAAAGAAAGTGCAAAGACCTCGCACTTTGTTAGCTAAGTGGGTGCAGTACCACAGCTTTTACTGGACCCTTTCTTTCTTCCCACTTGCTCTCAGGCTCGGCAATTCATAATCATTTTCATTCGTATTTTTGTGCAACTCAAAAGAGATGGGGCATATGAGAACTTTTTTTTTTTTGTATAACTTGGACTTCCTCTCCATTTTATTGATCTCGGTTTCACATGTAACTTTTTTACTCACCACCAAAACCAGTCAAACCATATTCAACACTTCTGATTGGACAATAATTTGTTAAAAAAAATACCCACGTGGGGACTGACCAAAAGTGTAAACTTGTGGAAAAAGAAGATATTGGCCAAATTTGAACATAGGAGGACTTTGCTCGACAGTCACACGATACTTTTACCAGACCGGTTACATTTTCACAGATACATTCAAAGTGTTTTCTTTTTGTTCCTCTCCCGTGGTCACCTAAGGCAGCGTTGTACATGAAAAACGGCTTGGAGTATGCACACTGACTCTTGGGCTGCGTTTTGAAAAAAGTCTGCCTGTGTTTTCAGCAGCAGGTGTCAGCGCAGCAGTTGGCCTTCCAGCAGCAGCTCCTCCAGGTCCAGCAGGTCCAGCAGCAACATCTGCTCAATCTTCAGCGCCAAGGGCTGCTCACCATTCAGCCCGGACAAACGGGCCTGCCGCTGCAGTCGCTCGCGCACGGTCAGTACTGCTTAGCACGACAATGGATTAAAATAGCATCCGATGCGGCGATGCCGCACTTGGGATTTAAAAAAAGACATTTAGGGTTGAGCGTTGTATTGGTTGTCTGTGTGCGTGTGCGTGCGTGCGTGCGTGCATGTGTGTGTATAAAAATATATATAGATATATATTTATATATCTATATATCTATATCTATCTATATCTATAGATAGATATAGATATAGATAGATAGATAAACATAAATATATAAAATTAAGGAGGGAAGCTAATGAGCTTTAGCAAGCCATATCCAAGGGTGACTCCAAGAAGCTGCGTTGCAAAGAACTTTGGCGAGGTTGGATTTATCATTCATCAAGTGTCAGTATGTTTGCTTGTCCGGGAGCCAGTACGTCTGTTTGGCCAACAAGTTTGTGTCTTTATTTATTCTTTTCCTATTTGTTAAGGAGCGGTCGCCTTGCGACAAAAGACACTGTCGTAAGGCTTTCAGAACATGACATTCACTATTCATTCCCAGCTAAGACAAACAGTTTTGAAATAACAAGATAAGGGTGATTAAAAACAGGAGGGTTCAGAGGTGCTTAGGTAATAGGCACACACAAACACGTTTGTACAGTGCTGTTATTGTTTGGACTGGGTATGGAATCACTCATCCGCTCGCAGGCAATTGCCGCGGGCACAGGCGTGGAGCGCCGCCGTGTTGAGTGTGCTTTGCCGAATTGCTTTGTGTCAGATGTCTGGCAAACAAACACACGCCCTTTGAGTAAAGCGTTATATGGCTGATAGGGGCAGATACTGTACTTTGCGGGAGCTTTCGCAACAGTCCCATCCTGTTTAGACTGTGTCATCATCACATCAGCGATTGCCATGCACACTTGCTGGCCGTGTGTGTGGGAGTGTGGGTGTGGGTGTGGGTGTGGCCGTGTACTTCATTTGTATTTGTATTTCAAATTCCCTCAAAGTCGGCACGGTGATTAAAATATGGACTTGCTTATATTTTACCTTAAAAATGATTGTCAAGCCCGTCTTTGATTTTACTCTCCGTGCAAAGTGTGTCATAACACCCTCACATTTTTATTCATGACCGGAGTTGCTATTTTTTGCTCCTTTCACATTTCCAATTTCCGCTATTCTTCCCGTTAATTAAAAAATAAGTCGGATCTGTTGTCCGAGGTGATTCTTTTTTGCCCGGCTCAACTGTTTGTCCTCGCGATCCATCGACGGTCTGCTCCGTGTCTCCGACAGCTGCTACACGACTTAAGCTAGTCGTTTGAGCTCCCCCGTTTGTCTTCTTCCTATTCAACGCGTTTTCTGCTTGACTGTTTGAAGTTATTGATGACCTTTCTGTTTTCCACATCGCTTAACTCGTTCACGCATCAGTGGGCTCGGCCTACGGTGCTGTGATCTAATCTACGATATTCGCCTCGCGTTTAGCGCCGCGTCCTCGCAAGTGATGACTTGATCCGCTCTATCTGAGCTCCAGTGATCATGGATTCAAACTCGGGCGTAATAAATTGGCACGGCCGTCTTACTCCTCTTTTGCTCATTTTAACATCTTGCTGTTAATACAATGATTTAGTCTAGCTATTCGCTTTTGATAAGAACCGTTCATTGGCCCAAACTATTCAAACCCCTGTTCAAATTCTGAGGCCATTGCCTCAGAGCGATTGTCTCTGAACGTTTAGCAGAAGTTGGAGGGGTGGGGTGGGGTGTCAATAGATGATGCAGGAAAGTGGCAAACAAAATAAAATGTCATTGAAAGAGATAGCAAGTACAAATATTTGCTATTTTCTTTCTCTTCGCCGGCATAGCCAATGTAATAAATGTGTGCCGGAGATGATTAGAACGCTTTAGATTATGCAACCAGTCACCAAGGTTCTTGAGTACAGTCCAAATTGTCCAATCGGAGACATGTACGGTCCTCAAAATGTAAAAACAAAAAAAAAAAAACAACAAACGATAATAATAAATAACTCAATGTAAATGGTGCATATGTTGAATTACACAATTTCTTTCTTGCGTCAGTTGGGTCCAATAATCCAGCACATAATAACTCACTTTAATTGAGCACTTGGCCAGTTTATAAATAAGTTGGGAATTAACTCGCACGCCACACCACCACAACAACAAAAAAGGGAGACAAAACAGGGTTAAAGCTTTTGTTGAGCATAATGTGTTTTGGATTACTTCTATGCATCATCAGTTTCCTAAAATAAATGGGAGTAATAATTCTAAGACGATATAATTAATGCTTTCCAGTTGGCTGTTGAAATTTTGTGTAAGCCTGTAAGATAACAAATTTGAGTCAAAGACAATTTGGGATTGAATCCTTCGTATTATCGTTTTCTGTTGCCGTAAATTCTTTTGACATTAATGTTCAAAGTCCTGGAAGCAGTTAGACGATATCTGTTATAAATTATAACAATTTGCTCGGGAGGATATAAGCCTCCCCCCTGCCCCCACCTCTCTCCGCCACCACATGCTCACACGTTTTCACACACGCCGTCCTCTTGACCCGATAAGAGAGTCGCCGGTTGTTTTTTGCGCTCACGTGGCTGCAGCCTCGAGGATGTGTTTTCATTTAAATGCAAAGCGCACACACCGCCTCTGCACGCTGTGGCGAAAATGGCCCCCGTGCCCCTTTGAGGGTGAGCGGCAAGGAGGGCCACGTTGCCGCGCAACATCATTAAAGTTGTCTCCGAGAGGCCAGCGGGACGGTGACAAGACAAATTTGCCGATAATATGAAAGCAAAGAACGTGGCCAGCCACCAAGTGCCTACAGAACAGCGGCACATCAGGGACAGCAGTGGGGAACGCGGCCGACCTGTCAGTGATTGATCCATCCGGCCGTAGGTTAGCGGTAATAGTTCCTGCAGCAAGAAGCAGGACATATTTCAGGCGTAGGGGTGCATATCAGCAGGCCAGTGATTACTGCAACATAAACAGGGGTGCAGTCAGGTCCCAGCCTGACGGAACAATAAACTAATAGCAATGTCACTGTCCCTCCACCCCCCCGCCCCGTGACACCGGCACTGTGAGCGAGGAGTAACAGCCCGCTTTAAAGAGTCTCGAGCACTGGGGGCCATTTTTTATTTCCAGGATGATGGCCTGCAACTGATGTCATTATGAACCTTAAATCAACTTTCTGCTTGCTCGAACATGGTCACCTGGGTACAGGGGGACAAGGACGCGAGGAGGTTGAAGTGCCCGGCCCGTCTCCGTGCCGGAGCTACCTGCCGGGCTCAAATTGCGTTGGGAGGCCGGTGATCAATCACGTGTCCCAACGACATACATTTTTTACGCGCTTGTCTGTATTTCCCCATCGTAATGAGCCGAATGGTTGTGTTGAAAAATGAAAAGGGGAAAGATAAACCAATCCGGCATTTGAAAAGCGGGCAAACTGCCGGACCAAGAAAGAGGATTTTACGGATCAGTGTCGTTTTGTGCTGCTGTAATCAGATGGAGACATCTGCAAAAGCAACTCCATTGTTCAACCATAAAGGATAACGTGCTCAGAGAAATTTGTGTCATGGCATTTTATTGTCATTTGAGGTGACACGCTGTAGAAACATTTCAAAATAAAGAAATAACTATATGGGGGGCGGGGGGTTTAAAATTAGGGGGGCCTTAATCAAAGGTATGGGGAAAAATAGCCAAGTTTTTCACCTGGATTTAAAAGCATTGGCGCTCTGGACTGACATCGCTTCTGTTGGCAGCTTGTTCCATTCGTGTGCAGCATAACCGCTAAATGCAGCTTCACCTTGTTTACTTTGAACTCTGGGCTGCACTATTTGGCCCAAGTGGGCAACTCTCCGAGCCCGACCGGGTTTGTATTTAATCCATTAATGTAATCAGGACCCAAACCATTAAGCAATTTACCGAGCAGTCGCAGAATTTTAGAATCTATTCTCCAGCTGACTGGGAGCCGGTGAGACCTTTGTTCCCACTCTGTTACCGCTCTCATCAGCCTCCTCCATCCGTTGCGCTTTCATCTGAGTAAACAGTCGTGTCGGGGTCACCAGGACTGCGAGGTAATTGAGCCAGTGTGGGCCGCCCTGTCAAGCACATCGGCTAAAAATACATCGCCCACTGTCACCGGGCACCGAGTGGGGGCGGGGGGGATGATCGGTCCTGCTGTCTCAGTGCAGGACACAAGCATCACCGGTGACCTTCTCAAAAAGAGGATAAAAAGGAAGAACTTTTGCCTCACGGTCTGTTTTTATGACAGGAAAAGCTCAATGGAACATTTAGTGGCGTAATTGTAAATGGGCGAGCGGGGGATTTGCATGCTAAAACACAGGCGGCAATATGGAGCCTGTTTTGCCTGTCATGGGCGCGCACTCGGATTAGAACTCAGCAAGGCGTTGAAGGCAGTCGGGGAAAACACACGCAAGCAGAAGAAGAGCGAGCGAAATATTTGAATGTGGAAAGACGCTCCTTGGAACGTGGAAAGGTTATTGATATGTCCTGCAATCATTTCCTGCTCTTTGATATGCAAACGATCTTGTGTGAATTTAGAGCAATCCTATCAGACTCATTTCACACTTCTTAGCCCTTGCGTCTCTCCGGAGTCCTCCGCCTCATTAGGCCAATGTTCTCCATTACCGGCATAATTAAAATCTTTAGTAGCTTATCAAATGAAAAATATTTTTGCTGATCGCACCGAGATCTTCACATTTATTTTTTTTTTTCCACAACAGGAATAAATGAAGACCGAGCATTTTGCATACAGTGTCTTACAATTTGGTGCTTGAAAGGAGCACGCTGATGAGAAACGGGGAGGGGGGATTTGGAGACTAGAAACTCCAGTAGATAAGCACGTGCAAATCATCTTTCATTTAACACTGCTCATTTTGAGAATGGCTTTAATTAATTGTAAGGTAAAGGGAGTGGCTTTTTCTTCTTTTTTTTTCTTCTGTACAGCACATATGCAAGGACTTGCTTTGAACATGTGGATTACTTCAGCACGCTGGATTTGAATATGCACACATTGTCTTCAGATTTCGCCTTTTCAGATTTTTCTGTTTTTATTTTGAAAATGGGCATCAGAGTTCACGCACACAGAAAGCTTCATTTCAATTTTGTCAAATGACGATATTGCAGTCGTCGGGTAAAGCTCTCTGGAAGTTTTATTTTGGGGGGGGGGGGGTCGGGAGACATGAAAAACAAAACCAATAACTGATTATATTGTATTTATTCATATACTCAGCATGTCGCCAATTTTAGCAGAGGTGGCCAGCATGAGGCGTTTAAGGCAAAAAAAAAGTCTCTGTCAGCTTATTTTAGGAAGGTGACAAAATGCTATAGATGGCCACAAACGATGTGGTGTACTGACATTAAAAAAAAAAAAAAACTCCAAAACCGGATTTTACCTTCTTATCCAAACTCCTGACCCCCCCAACCCCACCCCACCACCCCGCTTTCAAGTTTGCTGTCAGCGCAATGCAGAAACACGCAGGCAGGCAGGCACGCACACACATAGACACGCAGCGTAGATGTGTTGTCAACACACCAACAATGTCATCTGTCTGCAAGGGATTTATTTTTTCAAAGAGCTCTGCTAGCTGCAGTGTGCTTGACTTGTTAAATGAGGTTTAAGTCTTCTGTGTCAATTGGAGGCGGTGCAGAGCTTTAAGTATTTTGCACATTAATGCGCTTTTGAGAATATTACCCCAGGGTCCTGTTTCTCAAAGAGGCAGTGGGGGGGAATTGGGGCGGGGGTATGTTTCCTAGTGATGCTGCTGTAAACATATTGTTGTGTGCGCACAACACACAAACATGATGGCCATTATTCAGATTTCATGCCTTGTCTGAATGTTAATTATTTTACTCTGGGCATGAAATTTGCGTGAGTACGAGGGATTTGTGTACACAAACATTATCCAGATGACAGGAGAATTGAGGAGGCGGGGGTGGGGGGTTGCACTTGCTTGAGATTCTAATTAATACGCGGTTTTGTTTACAGACAAATGATTTAATTAAATGGCCAAGGAGAGAGTTGGATTAGCTGCTAATTGATTTTATGATCCAATTTGTTTGTTCCAGGCATGATTCCTGCAGAGCTGCAACAGCTATGGAAGGAGGTAACCACCGCTCATGTGAAGGAGGAGCACAACGGCAGCAACAATGGCCACCGGGGCCTCGATCTCTCCTCCCCGGCGCCGCCAAAGAACCCTCTCCACAACCAGCACACCCCCACCAATGGGCAGTACATCAGTCATAAGAGAGAAATGTAAGGACAACCTTTTTGTCTGCCTCTGCCCAGATCATTCGCATACACAAAAAAGAAAGAAAAATCATTTTGACACAATAAGATATTAATTGACTTTGCTAGCATTAATGTTGAACTGCAATGCGCCATACTGAGTTGTTGTTGGTGTTTTGGGGACACGAGCCAATTTACAGTATGAGGAGAAACCTCTTGGTGTCATAACAATGCAGTATTATCTTCAGAAATTATTGTCCTTCTATTAAATTTTGAGTTGTGCCGCTACCTACTGGAAGTATCCGTTGAGCGTATCCATCCATCCCTCCATTTTCATCTTTGCGAATGCAGATTGTTTGTTATCACCGTTGTGTAGTTGTGTGGCTGGTGAGTGTGTTTCTCAACTCAACTGTATTTCTGGAAGACTTTAAAACACTCACCGCTGTCTACAAAGTGCTGCGCATGGAGCCAAAATAATTCATACAACAACAAACAATGTGCTTCCTATGGTCAATGACAAAGACCATAGGAAGCACAAAAACGGGTAAACAAAAAATCTAGTCTCCTGCGAAGTCAAAAGTCAGAGAGTAAAAATGAGACGAGTTTTAAAGATGGTCTGCGAGGGGGCTTGCCGAACATTCATTCCAAAGAGAGGGGCCGCCAACGGAAAAGGCTCCATCCCTTCTCAGCCTCCGCTGAGTTCTCGGTACCTCTAATAGTATCCGGTCCGCAGACTTGAGGCACCAGGCAGGTGCGGAGAAGCACCGAGAGATAGCGCCTGTCCATTTCAAGATTGGAAAACAAATCATAGGATTTTCAAAAGAACTCTAAAATGAGCCAGTGAAGGGATGCCGAAGTAGGAGTTGTGTGCTCCCTCTTACGAGAACCAGTCAATGGGCGAGCAGCGGCATTCTGGACCAACTGGAGACGCTTGATGGAGGATTGACTGACTCCAAAGCAAAATTCATGACAGTCATCCAGAATGTGACGAAGGCATGAGTGACTGTTTCAAAGTGCTCCTGAGAAAGGAGATGAGGACACTCAGGGAGGCCGGAGCCGAAATTGAACCCTGCACTGTACTGTGAGGCCGACGTGCTAACCAGTCGATCACCGTGCTGCCATTTTTCTCATTAAGCCGAAAATCTTCCATGCGAGGTCTCCACAAATTCCAATGCCCCCACAGGCCTTGTCGGGTCTATAATTAATGTATATTTCATTTAATATTTCACTGGTGTTAATGAGGGGGGTCAAGTCTGCCTTTCTGTCATTCTACTCAAGAACGTAACAGCACATTAGCTGCAGCGTCTCTCAAGACGAAACACACGCGCCGAGGTTCTTTCCTTTCGGTGCCGTCAACCTGATTCGACTCATTGTTCAGGCACAAAAACAAGCAAACTGAAACTAAGTGGCGGTGTTATCGTGTTTTCCGTTTCACGATAGATCATCCCATTTGTTTCTGTCGCAAGGAGGGCAGAAATTTGGCGTCTTGCACACGTGCTTGTGTTCTCGCGCCGTCGCTGTTATGATCTTTGAACTGCTAGCGAGAAGGCTCCAGGCACCATGAGCTCACTGCATAACATCGGAGTGGCTGATCAAAACCAACGTGTCTTTCAGAAAGCCGCGTAGAAAAAAAAAAAAACAATAACGTATTTCACACTTTGATGGTGGAAAGTGCCGTCTTTGTGTGTGTGTGTGTGTGTGTGTGTGTGTGTGTGTGTGTGTGTGGGATGGGGAGCTGGCGGGGAGTGACACAGATCATGATTCATCGATGGTGAGATTTTTATTATTTATTTTTATTTTGTGGGGGGTGTGGGGGGAGATTTTTTTTTGAAAGCGGATTTCAAGATCCCGATCAAGAACCAGGCCACGAGGCTGATATAAAGTCGAGGATGATCCAATTCACGGACTTCCAGCGCTTCATTTAGTGTCGGTGTGCGTGTGGGCTCATCCACGCGTGCGTGTCTTGTGGAAGCAATGTGTGAGGGATGAGATATTGACTCGCTCCCTCCATCACACGTGGTCACAAGTGAGCAAACAAGGTGCGCATCAGTGGGAGGGAAAAAAAAAAAAAACGCGGCCCCCGCAGAACACGGAAGAAGACGCGGCGCTCGAGCTGCCAAGCGTTGACTGTCAGAGATTAAATGAAGATGTCAGCAGCGGTTTAGAACGAGCGCGGAGGTGAAGACGCCATTCACCGACAGAATTGTTTCACACTCGTATCGTTGTCATCGTATCCGTCAGAAGAGCGAGCAGGTGACTCTCATTGACCGCAATGTGTCACCGCTAGCAGATACGGTACCGGAATCAATTCTTAAATAACATCAGATGGACATCATTCAGAATGAATGTCGCAACATTGAGCAGCCTAATCTGATTGAATTGAGATCGATGCCGGCAGTTCCTACCGAAGATGGCATCCGAGCATGTTCAATCTAAACCACAGTCGAGGTCCGTTTGATTTTGATGGTGCAGACCAAGTTCACATTTGAACGCAGCGCCGTTCTTGAGCATTTTCGAGAAAACCGCTGCTCAGTCATTTCAGGTTTGGAAAGATCAACCTGAAGAAAAGGGCCCGGGTGTCAACGGAGAGCATCCGCTCCTCCCGCCCAGGCCAAACTTTGAATTGATGTGGTTTCGCGAGTCCTTTTGTCAGGCACAACAGAAACACGCCTCTCCTCTGATGGACCTGTTTTCCCCGACCGGCTTGGGATTGGTTTACAGCGGGCCCTAAGTACCGTGTAGTTAGTTTCATGTGTCATATAAAATCTGGCCGGGCGCGACGACGCCTGCAACTAAAACCTTAAGTGCATCCACAGGAATCACTCATCGGCTTTGCACTTCCGTCTTAAGGAAGGAGGGGAAATTCAATCACCGCCGTCTTGACACACGCCGAAGCTGCGGCGCGTGCCGCCGCCGCCGCCGCTGAGTTGTCTTGAAGAACGCTCGGCAAACAGGCTCTGATCGGGGCTCTGTCTCGCAACAGCTTCCGTCAGAAAATGCCTACCTCTCAACTGAGTCAACCTGCATCCGCACGGATTGGAATACCCTTGTGAGTCTTGCAAGGCTCAAAATCCGTATTTATCTTTCTAGCGCAGCAGTTTTGTGGACTTTGTTTGAGAAGCATCTTTCTAATTTTGGGGTGTATTATTATTATTATTATTTTTTTTTTGTCAGTCAATTCCAAGGACCTGAAGTAAGGGTTTTATCAAACCAACAAATACAGTCAAACCTCATTACAACCTACTTCGAGGAATAAAGTCAATCTGTACAGTCGTTTGTTGTCGCTATTTCCGATAAAATGGCCGTCAAACACCACGTCTAATCCAATATGAACCTTCATAGATGTAGAATCATGAACATGTAATACAATGTGTCAATTGCAACTTCGTCTCTACAGTATGAAGAAAACGTTCAGTGAGCAACAAATCTGCACAGTCGTTCGTTGTAACTATTTCCGATAAAATGGCCGCCAAACACCACGTCTAATACAACAGTCTCTACAGTATGAAGAAAACGTTCAGTGAGCAACTGAAAAGTGCCTTCTCCAGTTCAAGATGTGCCGCGCCCCGAAGTCGTTGGCCTTGAACTCTGCCATGATTTTGTTGCCAGATTATGAAAATCCTCAACTTTGCCAATTGGTAGTCTCGGTTGAGCTTGGTCCGGGAGACTCCCTTTCCAAAGTGAGAGACAATTTCAGCCTTCGCAGACGGCGAGATTTACTCCCGTTTCCCAGACGTGTTCTGAGACCACATGCGCCGTGGTTCCGGGTCGATCAGTAGCGTTGCTAAGCAACGGAGGGGAATCCTGGGCTGTACATTTTGTTCATAAGCAAGGTCGCGGCGGCAGTTAGCCTCCCATGGTTCGTCGGAACGAAGGCCTTTTCACGATTTTGTGGGAAAAATGTGGTCGTTCTAATGAAGTTGACGTTATAAACGTGTTCGGCGGAAGCAAATTGGGCAAATGGAAAGTGAACAATGTGAAATCTGGACTTTGAAATGTGATAATGGTGAAAACGTTGTAAATGGAGTCCGCTGAAATGAGGTGCGACTTTCTGACAATCCAACAAATGAACAACTGGTTTTCTTTTGTTTATAATCGGCCGTTTTTATGACGTAAATTCCCGTCGTGCGCAGCAACAAACCGCATTTTTTTTTGTCGATAAAGGGTACAGTTTTAAACGCAAATCTGCATTTTTTGGAATGCCTTGGATGGTGTTTTAGCAAGTGGGAAACAAAAAGCACAGGTGGCAGCGATAGAGGCCAGTCCCCCGGCCTTTGTCGCAGAGAGGTGCGTGTCTCGAGTCGTGCTTGTTTCCATATGGCCGACTGTCTTGTTCTCAGCGTAGGCTCCCCCCTGGACCACTTCCTCAAGCGCCCTTTGGGGTGACATTCGTTCCACACCTCTTGCCATATGGACGGTGTTGTTGTTGTTGTTGTTTTTTAGAGATGTCCCCGTTACGTCTTGTGGTTGCTCGTCGGCCCCTTGTGACACATATCGGCCGGTAGATACAGTAGATTGATACCAGGTGGGAATGTTTACAGTTTGAGCTGAATCTGAAAAGTTTCTTTTGCTCTTCACGTTGCGACACGTAAGCACCTTCAGACAGACCTGATTCAATTTGTGGATGTACACACAAGGAATGTGCGAGCACCGATATCAGGTATCGGTCATGGAACGATCCTGGACCTTTTCTTCACAGTGGTTTTGTCTCATCGTGTTCAATGGAATTTTTACACAGTCAAAGTACCAGCGGTATCGGCGCTCGGTATTGGTGAGGACTCCGACGGTGAATAGTCACAATTAAAAAAAAAAAATCAAATACAATCAAATAAAAAGTGACACTCTTCTACGGCTCTATGTATTGGTTTTAATCGGGTGAACCACACGGCAGCGTTCACGGCTGAATTCACCGCAGATGCTGGCCGCGAGCATCTCACTGTCGTCGTGCGTTGACACCAGTGACAATCCTGCCGCGAGTATTTGAGCTCAGTGAAAAAAAAAGGTTCTTAAGTTGCCTGTTTTCCTTCTTTGCCTTTCTGCTTCAGATCCTCAGTCGAAGACTGCCACCCCCACAGTCACCCTCTCTATGGTCACGGCGTTTGCAAGTGGCCGGGATGTGAAGCCGTCTTTGATGATTTCCATTCATTCTTGAAGTAAGTCCAAGGCTCCATTTCCAAGTGTGTGTGGGGGTGTGACCTCGCTTTGGCACATTCTTTTTTTGGGGGGGCTGGGGGGGACACCATCCACACAAATGCACTGTAACAAAAGCTGTTTGTTATTCCTTGAGTGAGTGCCTGGGACAGTCCTCTCTTGACAAGGGTACGGAGCCCGAAACCCCCTTGGAGGACGCCATGGGCCTCTAATTCCTGTGATAAGTGCAGTTCCCATGGCGATGGGGACCATTTTTCCCAAACAAACAACCGTAGGATGTTTATCCGTAGCGGGCCACACTTTAGGCGCACTGCATGTTTGCCCTTGTCATTGGAGCGTGGGGATTTGTTGTTTGTCTTTGACTGCCTTGTCTGCCCGCTGCCCTTTTTCTCTCTTTCTTTTTTCCCCCCCTTGTATGCCTCAGATTTCTTCTTTCATAGTTCCATCGTTTTTTGTTTTTTTTTTTCCTCGGCATTTAATTGTCGACCACTCCATCGCGGCGTTCTCTGACCGCGCACGTTCGTAGCGCTTTATCTTGGACAGAAACACCCGCTTTGAAATTACAACTCCGGGATAGATTAGACCGTGTGCGGCCAGGCGCAGAGCGTTGTTGTGATACATCGCGATCGCCTCGCCTGAGACCCCAGGTTTGCTTATCAACCCGGCGCGCGCCGCGCTCTTGTTAATCCAGCTCATAACAGCGCCGTGGTTACGGAGAAGGATGAAAACATCTGCCTCGTGGCAGCAGATCAATGGCTCACTGTCACCCCGGATTAGTCTCACTTTCAGCAAGATATGACACAATTCCATGATCCCAAAAACAAGCACTCGCACAGTTTCCCCAGCAGACGGGGGGCGAAAGGTGTCACGCGGGGCAGCCTGACAGACGGCCCAAACGTTGATGCTTTGTCAATATTGGAGTCCCCGTTTGATCGTTTGCTTAAATCCGCTCGTATTGCCCCCTCCAGCGCTTGTAACTTTGCGAATTAACATGACGTGTGGTTGTGCCGTTTTACAAAAACAAAAAGCTCGCTTTGTATTTTCACACTTGAGCGTATATTTTGGCTTCGGGGAGGCGCCTTTAAACCGGTTCACTCTTGATTGTATTCGGACATTGCCTCGCCTTTTTTTTGTGGAAGGGAAGGGAATCAAATTCTGGACGCACAGTAGAACTCTCCCTAACAATGTCCGTCAGTGCACTCTGCTTTGTTTTCACAAGTGTTTTTATCATGGCAACATCTTGTTTACTTTAGTTGCCTGCTCCAACTGCTTGGAACACGTTAAGAAAACATTTGTGGGTGAGTCTCCACAAAGCCGCCTTTGTCTCGCAGCAGGCCAGTTTGCGAACAGCTCACCAAGGTGTTAGCGCTCAAACCCCTTAAGCGCTTCCACATGAAGCCAAGCCACTGATAGTGCGGGCCTCTGAAAGGACTCGAAATAATAACAACAACAAACAAAAAAAAAAAGCCCAAATGTATTTATGGAATTGTCGAGGTCTGTGAGTGTCGAGTCAGCAGGACGTACACACTGCGCGACCAGACAGAAGGAAAGGTGAGGAGGACTCCAACGTCAAAGAGATTTCAGCCGCGCGCGCCAACAGTAACAGCTAACGTTGCTCGGAAATGTTGTTTTAAACCGTGTGCGTGTTTATTCTGTCTTTAAGAATACATGACGGACCTCCGTGCGCTATCTTGATAAACACAAGGCACCAAATCCTGTTTTTGTGCTCGACGCGCAGAGGTGCTCGTGGCCCTGTAGGGGCGGGGAAGGGGGGGGCGTGGGGGTTCGGTCGGTCAAAACCCGAGTCAACAGCGGCCTCGCCGTGCGGGTCAGAGCCAGTGAAACACCGCAGTAGTGCTGCGCCGTCTGCGAGATGCAGAGATTCTCAAGAGCAACACGTTGAAAAACCCGCAGCGGATTTCTGAGCGACTCCAATCCCATAACACGTCTCGTCGCTATCCCACGGAAGCGTTCAGTTTTCAAATTCGAATTCCACGATCGGCTTTGGAACAGGAAATCTTGGCTTTCACCTCCCTCCGTGATTGCCGAACGGATCTGCAAACTAAGTGACAGAGAAGAATGGCCGCATGGCGGGGGCGTGTCTTGAGTGACTCGTTTTATTGTTCGGTTTGCATCCCACATTGTCAGCCCGCTTTTAAAAGTGGCTCCATTTGAAGTCCAAAAAGTGACACGCGCCAACATTCATCGGCTCTCTGGCTGTCAATTCCCCCGTCGTCTCCTCTGCTCCCGTGTCCAGACAGTTCTCTCAAGGCTGCATTTGAATATTTCATTTCCTATTAATTATGCACTGCGACTCGCCGTGTCATTAGAAGAAATAAAGTGGAATGTAACAAAGGATGAAAAGAAGCGGGGCATATGTCGCCCATGAAAAAGGGAAATTTCAAAGCCGCTCACGTAGGCTGCCCTTCATTGAAAATGCCGCCCAGGCCAGTTCAATGGAAGTTGAGTTTCCTTCTTTGAAAATGGAAATATACGCAATATACGCAAATGTCGACCAGCTCCGTTTGCAGATTGGCTTCACTTGAATTCAAGTCAGAATGATCCTATTCTTGACAATGGACGTTTAAAAGTGGGTTTAAAAGCACAAACCGCCGCATCATTTCCTTCCAGGTGTCAGTTTATCAGAAGCATAAAAATGTGACGTATCCGATACGAGGGCCGACAACGAGCGGGAGCGTCGCCATGGCGTCACCGCCGACTTTTGATTTGCCGCGAACTGCAGCCAAAAGTGCATTCATCACGCCGGGTGCTTTCCGCACCTTGCAGCCCGTCCGCCGGCGCCGGTGTGTGCGCTCGCTCCCGAGACGAGCCAGCCCGCCGACGGTGACCTACATGGTCACTGAAGATGCGATATAATTTATGATATATATAATATATTGGATCCATTAGTGAGCATAATGAAGTAGTGAAATGAAAGGGTATTTGTGAAATCAGTTCAAACATCCTGCTCGGATTATGATTAAATGATTAATGAAATGCCCCTGTATAAGCATTTTCAAACAGTAATTCATGCGCTGGCTGATAAAATTCCTGCAATCATATTTCCTTCACTCGTGAAGCTTATCTGCTCCATTTTATATGAATCACTGGGAGGGGGTAAAAAAAAAAAAAAAAAAAGCCTTGTCTGGAGCCTGCCGAGCTACTTATTTAGATTAGTTCTTAAAAGTAGAGGCAAGGAGAATATATTTTCCCGTATAAAATGATCACATATAATTATATCCATAACTCAAGTTTGTGATAGCTCCCACGTGCTTCTTCTGTTTGCCAGGTTTTTATTTCAAACATTTCAATGTACTTTAATGACACAAAGAATTTACAGATACGTATGCAAATGCAATTGGAGCGTCGTCCAAATGCCACGGCAAAACCTACAAAAGTTCAGTCACTGCACTTGTCTGCTGTCATTCAAACAGACTTCACACGACTGTTTCTGACATCAGACGACTGAAACAAGCTGCTGCAAGTCAAAGTGACACGTGCATTTTTTTTTTTTTTTTTTTTTTAACATGTGCGTGTGTTGTCCGCTTTTTGTTTTCCAGGCATCTTAACAATGAGCACGCTTTGGATGACAGGAGCACCGCCCAGTGTCGGGTGCAAATGCAGGTCGTACAACAGCTGGAGCTGCAGGTATTGTCCGGGCTTTTGTTTTGCACCAAATATTTATGTCTTCTTCTCCCGACAATGCTTTTGCGCCGAACGCCTCCCTCCCACCCACCCCCACCCCCATCTGACATCAGCCACGGGGTCACCCACAGAGGTCCAATGACATGAATTTGTACAACCGGCAAGGAACCAGTCATTAAAAATGTGTTATGGATGCATGACAGCTAGGACAAGATATATGAAGAGCCCGCAGCTAAGTAGAGAAGATAATTACATTTTGTATATCGCTGGCTTTAAAAGTTATTTATGACTATCTCTTTTGCGCCGCCAATAAAACACAAAAATCTCTCACACGGAGATGATAGAAACCTCAGTGTTGAATTATAACAAGTCATAGACAAAAGAAGCTCATTTCCCTTTGTAAAATATCAGAAATGTTATTTATTACGTTATCTGTTAGGAGCAGTCGTTTTGTAAATTTAGATTTTCTGAAAGGAAATTAAAAAAAAAAAAATGGTGGTAAAATGTCTCCATAAAGATAAGCCATCACTCATGTTGTCTTTTTTTTTAGAGGGACTTTAAACGGACGACTAAGTTAGTGTCCATAGGACAGTGACAGGTTAAAATAGTGAACGTCCACAATGAATAACCTGTACTCATAAAAATCTGAGAAATTGTTTCATTTACTACCAAGGATTCAAAGTGCACATTTTCTTAACCCGTGTCTTATGTCGTGTGTGTGTGTGTGTGTGTGTGTGTGTGTGTGTGTGTGTGTGTGTGTGTGTGTGTGCGTGTGTGTGTGAGGGCTATGTCATTTTGCGGCCTCATTTTATTTCCATTCTGGTTCCATAATGTTCAGATCGATGGAGTCAACATTTATCAGAAGCAAAGTTCTTCTTTTGCTTACGAACATGCAATGTGAGGACGTAGACCGATGACTGAATTACAGATTATCAGGTTTTAAAATGACCTTAACAGGAAAAGATACAACAGATAATGGTATTTGGAATGAGAAAACAAAGCACCGTGCCTGTACTGATTTAAAAAAAAAAAAAAAAAGTCATGTGCTCTCCTCCTTTCCAGCTAGCGAAAGACAAAGAGCGTCTTCAAGCAATGATGACACACCTTCACGTTAAATCGACAGAGCCCAAAGCCACGCCACAGCCGGTGAGCCAGCCCATCATACGTCTCGTGTCCCCCCCCCACCCCCCAACCCCCGCCTTCCTTTGTTTGTCTTAATTGGCATCCGTGTATCCATTCATCTGTCCCTCTGTCTTCTTATTTTATCTGCGACATAAAAACAGCTGTTGTCTCCAGGGAGAGGCGGTCTATATGGTCGGGTCCGCTTCTGCTGACATCCAAGATTCAATTTGGCGTCGGAGATAAAGTGCGCACAAACAGCTTCGTCTCCGTAACGGAATCCAAACTCTGTCCGTTTGCCCTGCCAGATTATTGCTATCGCGGTTATAATGAATGAGTAAAAGCCAAATAATAGACATCCGTATCGCAGTCCTTAAGCATCTTCGAGAGCGTGCGTGGCCGTGCTGTGAAACGACATACCTGGACATGATAATAAATTTACACCAAGTTATACTTCAAATTCATACTGGCTTCAGAATCCATTTGAAATAATCACGAAAAATTGATTTCATTATGAGCAGATGCAAACAATGTATACATATCTATGAATTTGTGTGTGTGTGTTTGTGTGGGCGGGGCTTTTTTATTTTATTTTACCATGACACATTAAATAGTGCTTACAACTCCACATTTCTAAAGCAAGGCGTAAAGTGTAATGTTTATCGTATTGAGACAAGGGCTTAATGCGGCATTTTAAGGCAACGGGCTATTCTGTCTTGTTTTTGAAGGGACCATGTATCAGTCTGACTGACGGCTCTTTTATCACACCAAGAGCCAAAGATCATTGTAGTGCATTGCCTGGATTCAAAAGCCAACACACACGCACACACACACACTCCCAGACATAAATGCACAATACACAAGCAGGAGTCGTGTCTCTCATCACACAGCGCATCTTGGATCATTTATTTACAGTCGCCCATTGATGTGCGCGGGCTCCATGCGCACAGATGAGTGCAGACGTCAAAAGACAACAACAAAAAAGACTGTCAGTTGAAGCGGTCCCCGTGTCACACGCCGATCGCGTGGATCAGAGTGCAAAAAGTGGTCTCTTGACACCGGGACATTTTGTGTATGGAAAGTGGTTGAGGCGGCAGATAGCATCTGGAGTTGGTCTCTCCTCGGGGCCCGCGAGAATGCCTGTGTCACAACTCGACAAGAAGGCTCTCAAGGGCAGCCCGGATTTTGATGCTAATTATTCCACTCCTTTTCCAAAAAGTTGTTCCACTCGCCACCGTCATCTGCTATCAAGTGCTATCGATGCACTCTGATACATACTGGCGCTGGGTGACTGGTGGATTTGGGGAGTTTGAGAAACATGCTTCGCCAAAAAATGTTGAGTTTTTTTGATTAGTTTTTAGAGCCGGTTTGTTCGTTTTTCAAAAATGCTTCATTTTAGTTGGGATTTTATTAGTTTTAGTATTTTCCTTTTTTGTGTGTGTGTGTGTGTGTGTGTGTGTGTGTGTGTGTGTAGGCAAAATTGGGGAGGAAAACGAGCATGGTAAGCATTGTGGAGTAACAAAAAAAAAAACATTTGTCTGACAATCGACAAATTCTGACATCCAATAAGTGCAGTGCATAATGCTGCTGCTTCTAAAGTCCGATGCATCACAACCTTAAGGGCTTCAATGAAGCTAGGATGGTCTTGCTGTCCATCCCTCGTTTTCCAAGTTGCCAACTTCTAAAGTGGATTTGTGGCACGGCGCTTTTTTTTTTTTTTTTTTTTTAATTGGCCGCGGCCAGATGGTGTCACGTTTTAGGCGATGCACCGTAAAAGGACCGCAACTCCCAGGACCTTCCTTCTTCCGTGCTGTGATGCCAAAGCAAATTCGTGCATAGACACCCCCAAAGGCTCATCTATTACATTTCTTGACAAAGACAAAAACGGAGGACATTTTCGCTGGATTTACAGTTAACTTTAGGCAAGGCGGTGCAAGGCTTTATTCATACAGCACATTTCATATGCGGGGACAACTCAATGTGCTTCACACAAGCCAGGACAAAACACCTCCACTTGTCCAACAATTAAGACAGTCAGAATCAAAGCAAAAATAAAAATAAAAAAATGGCCAAAACGCACACTGACGCCATTTTAAACACATAAACAGAAAACTTGAAAAACATTTTAAACTAAAGAGTTCAAAGTAGGTTTCTAAGGTAACTAAAAGAAAACATGAAATTGTTTATTTGACCTACATTTCATTTGTAGGTCTTTTGTTGGTTTTTGTTAGCCAAAACCATTTTTTTTTCTCCTGCTGTTACATATGTTGAAAGTCTGCGGCCGCCATTGAAAAGCAGCCAATTGTAAGTTTGCATTTGGCTCCGCTTAATGCTAACTGATAGCATGCATGTAAACCGTGGCATGAATAGGATTCATTTTATTCTCACAAGATGGATGGCGCCGGGCGCTCAAACCAAACGTGTCGCATTAGCAATGTGTGTGTGTGTGTGCGCGCGCGTGTGCGCCGGTGCTCGGTGTCACTAAGCATCCTCGTCAGAAATCTGACCTTTTACGCCATACATAATTGAGGGAGGGACTTTTTGTTTATTTTCTTTAGCGGCTTTGCCGAGTCAAAGGCAGTCTAATTAGATCACCAATTACCATTTAATTAATTTCAGTCTGAAGTCTCATTTTGTCTGTACGCTGGAGCGAGTCCAAATGGTGAGGCAAACAAAGGCCGAGCTATTACCAGCCCGTCTGGCCTATTGTTGCAAACCTCTCCGTGTTTACGGCCGGGGAATGTGGATGAAACGAGAAACAAAGCCGGGCTAATCCTCAGCAAGACAAGTCAACGTACTATTGATGGTGTTTTGCAAGTGTGATTTATTTTGTCCGGCGTGTGCCGTAGGACTCTCCTCTTGCCGCGCTTTATTTCTTCCCATGCGCAAAAAGGAATATGGCCTTTTTTTGTTTGCTTTTGCTGATAGCATTTTACAGTTGTTATTGTCCGTTAGATTTGCGGCTTCCACTTTTGGGCCGAACTGTCTTTTCGACATCTTTGCGGGTGGAATCCATGCGCCATTTGGGAATAGTTCTTTTTTTCTGCAAAGCGAGGCGATGTATATGTGTCACGGGTTTTCCTGCCAATTAATGGCCGGAGCAAGGGTCGGACTCGAATTTTCCACTCGGCCGCCGCTGCCGGATGGACGCCCGGCACGTGGCTCCCGGCTGCCTCGAGCCTCGCCGTACTTTCTGAGCACTTGCCATAATTAGTTTACCTTGTCGTCATGATTACGTCGAGCCCCGGCGTGCGCACGGGCGGGGCCACGGGCCGCGACTCGCTAACATTACCGGGCTGTCTTCCACGGGTCGAATGAAAGTGGTCGGTCTGAAGCAGAAGTCGTTCATCATCAGATCGTTCCCCGTCAGCAGCGTTCAGATCTCGGAATATCGTTTCGTCTTGTAATTAGCCAAAAACGCAATCTTGAGAAGGACACGGCTGCGTTTCGCCTTCCCGTGCGGCGAGCATTCCAGCGTCGTCCCGGTGAACAGGATGAGATGGGGCGTGTTTTCAAAAGAGACAAAAGATTAAACAAACAGGCCGAAACAGGAAGGTGGAACTGGCTGCCGACCGAGGAGAAGAGTCATGATATTGCTGTCACTTTTTCCAGGCATTCGATGCTTCGGGTTCATCTTTGTGGCGAAGAAGGAAAGCGTTGACCGAAGGGGCGAACTGAGCTCACATCGGTTTGCTTTTGTTTTGTTCCATTTGCCCGTAGCTCAACTTGGTGTCCAACATTACATTGTCAAAGTCCAACCCTCCCGAAGCCTCTCCTCCACTGAGCCTGCCCCAGACCCCGACCACACCCACGGCGCCGCTCACGCCCCTGTCACAGACTCACTCCGTCATCACAGCCAACAACCTCCACAGCATGGGCCCCATGCGACGGCGTTACTCGGAAAAATACAACATGCCCATCTCCCCAGGTACCCGAACATGCTCTTTTGTTTTTCTTGACACGGTCTGGCTCTGCCTTGTTTCAAAGTTGTCGTTCAAACCAGTGTAATGATGCTCATCATGTATGTTACTACACCAGCTTCTTTTTTTTTTTTTCTGTCATTGCAGATCTCAGTCAGAACAAAGAATTTTACATGAACGCAGATGTTAGACCGCCATTCACGTACGCCTCATTAATAAGACAGGTAATGTTCTGCTTGCGCCGGTATATGGAACTCGATCTACTTACCGTTCATTTTGCGCATTCAAGCAGGAGTCGATGCAAAGAGATGAATCTGATTTGGTGTGAATTTTAAAAAAAACAACAACAACTTGGCTTAGGTGCAGTTGCTGGCTTCACCGGAATGACCCAAGTTGTCGATTTTTGGAACTCAGTAAGATGTTGATTTGTCTTCCAATCCCGCTTAAAATTGCATCGCTTGAAACATTCACAAATGTGTTTGAAATGTGGTGGTCTCCAACCACTCCTTGACCTGTTGCCAACAGCGTGCGAAAGATTTTCAGGTTGGCAAAGGCGCAATTTAACACTTGCCGTTTGGAATATTTGTCAAAACGCGATTCACCATCTCACGCGCGCTCCCTGTAACGGCGAACGCACGGTTTAGCGCTCGCTCTTCGGGCTCCTCGCTGAAGTCAGTCGGTCGGGGGCCTCGGTGTCTCGAGTAATTTCAATTCGGCTATTGAGGGAGCGTTTGAGTTTGTCTTTCTTTCTTGTTCAATTTGACTGGATGTAGACTCGACTGATCAGTCAGCCTCAAATGACTGCGCGCAAACGAGGTTCCCCAAACATTTCACGTCATTTGCATTTCGGCGATTATAAGCAAATTCATTTCACACAACGGTGGGGATGAACCTGTTTTACGAATGCCACTCAATTATCGCTCGCTTGCAGTAATCTGGGATCTCGGGAATTAATCTGAGCTGGCCGTAATTGCCGGCCCTGTAATCTGCCTGAGAAATGTTTTTGCTTGCCCTTCGCGGACACTCACAAAAGAAAATGTATTCAAATCTGCCATTTGAATGAAAAATGGAGGGAGGGCTGGGAGTAGGGATGGGGGGGGGTGACATAAACAGCCAGGACGCTCCGCACAGTCGCTCCTGCTCTCTGTTTTTCTTGCACGAACACACGCAAAACCTGCCGGCTTCTTGTGATTTATTTATCACTTTTGTGAAGGAAGCGACATTTGAAATATTTGTTTCCTCATCCAGGCGATCCTCGAATCTCCAGAAAAGCAGCTAACACTAAACGAAATCTACAACTGGTTCACACGAATGTTTGCATACTTTCGCCGCAACGCGGCAACGTGGAAGGTAAGGTTCCCGTTTGTCCCTTGGCTTAAGCGACGTGTAGCGGACATGCAGCGACAATGAGGTCGTGTCCAAGAATGATTTCTTTACGAACCGTCGTGACTTTGGCCAAATGCATGATAATAACCTCCTTATTCTGTTTCGATGAACCGTAAACAATGTGCCTGTAATTTGTCGGGATGTTCAGATGGTAGGTGGCTTCGCTCCACTTTCCACCAAACCGCAAATGAGCTCACACACGCTCAATCCAAAACAAAACAAACAATTTAAAAAGAAGACATGAGCAAGAAAAAAAAAAAAGTAAAATATGAGTGGAAAAGGCAAATTAGGAACTGAAAGCCTCTTCTAAATCCTTGGTGATCCGTCACGTGCCGCTGGATGCGACTCTCTCTATGCACACACACACACACACACACACACACACACACACACACACACACACACTCACTCTCTCTCTTTTCCAACGGCCTTATTCTCCACGAGATAAGTAGACTGTATTCCACTACTCTCGCGCTAAACTCCGTTCCAACGCCGATAGCAAAGTTAGCTTTCAAACAGCAGGATGTATTTATTGGTCTTGTCGTATTTTCAGCCGTTTTTTTTTTTTTTTTAATGGAAACGAGCCATGTAAAAATCATGAAGCATGACCACTGAAGGGAAAAAGTGGGGGGTGGCCCGTGTCCATGGGACCCATTTGAAAACACTGACAAGGTGAAAAACCAAATGGACATTGTCGGGGAGTTTGGCAGTCGAAATAGAGTTTGCGCAAAAAGAAGATTCAGATTCAGATTCATAAAACTTTATTCATCCCCATGGGGTAATTTGGACTTATTAAAGACTATCCAAGTCGTGCATGTTGCAGAGATATGAGTGTAAACTTTTTTCTTTTTTTGGAGTGTAAACTTTTTTTTTTCCACCTTCAACAATCCATCTGATTTTGGTCTGCGGAAGATGTGTGGAATCACACCTATTTTTCCTCTGAGTTTCAGAAAGACAGCCGTGACATTGACATTGATTACTGCGGCGGATCATGAATGTTTTTATTTCAGCCCGAACTGTATAATTCCCATCTCTATTATTTTACCGCCCAGTCTTACTGAAATCAAAGACCGTATGCTGCATATCTTTTTTTTTTTTTTTTTGCAATGAAATGTTCCTCATGCAGAGATGTTCACTGATAGAACCTTTTTTTTTTCTCTCTTTCTTTTTACACAACTGCAGAATGCAGTCCGGCATAATCTTAGTCTACACAAGTGTTTTGTGCGAGTAGAAAACGTAAAAGGGGCTGTGTGGACAGTGGACGAAATAGAGTTCCAAAAGAGACGGCCCCAAAAGATCAGTGGGTAGGTTTGCTCCTTTGAGTTGCCCGATGGGAAGAGGCTGCCGCTACTCCATCTCACTGTCTGTGTGCCACATCGTCCAAAGTCCCCGCTTGCTTTGGCGCGCCTCCCCTCCATGCTCTCGGAAGGCTTTTGGTGATGCCCCATAACCCGCGATGGCTTTGGCTGATTTTCATTGTGATCCTCACCCTCTGCCCTCCTCCCTTGTGTTTTGTGTGTCCATGTGTGTCTGTCCGTCATCCGTGTCGTCGCACACCGCATGGGCATCTGGCTGCCCCCACCCCCCCAACCCTCCCCCCCCCGCCGGTTCGCTTTCCCAGGGTGCCATTCGCACCAACCTTTCGCTGCATAAGTGCTTTGTGAGAGTAGAGGATGAGTTTGGGTCCTACTGGACCGTTGATGAGGAGGAGTTTAAGCGCGGCCGACACGTGCAGCGAGGCCGCCCTCGGAAATGCGCCCTCGATGAGAACTTTGACGAGCTGCTTGTACAGTAAGCCCTTCCGCCTGAGCCAAAGCCTGGCATACACGCCCAACCCCCACCCATGCATGCCACCCCCCCCTCCTCCCCCATCAGTGTTGCTGTGATGCATTGATCCATCGTGCTTTTTGTCTTCCAATTTATTCTCGCTTCCCACACACTTCACCATGTTGAAAGATACCTTGTCGTACCGTCACGCCTTCATATTGTCATTGCTAGACCAGTAAGTGCATTTTGGCTCTCATGCCAAGTGCATTGATTTCTTATTAGCAAATATGATACCGCGGTTGAGAAACGCACGCGAGGTGAGATGCAAGTCGGTGGCCCTAATCCAATTTCTGTTTGCAGAAGTCCGGCCTTGGTGAAGAATATTCATACAAGCTTGGGCTACGGGCCGACCCTCTCCGCCGCATTCCAGGTGAAAAAGAGAATTTCAAACGCGCCTCTGGGAAGTCGGGCCGATAAGGAAATCAGATATAGCCCCGCCAGCTCGATTTTCACAGTCACCCGAAGTCACGGCGAGCCGTATGTGTATGAAACGAGTGACGGGCGACTGAGTATGCGCTGACAACTTTCTTCCGTTCCCCGTTTTAATGCCCGGGGGGGGGGGCCTGCCTGCATTTCAGGCTTCGATGGCAGAGAACAACATACCTCTATACACAACTGCTTCCATTGGAAGTCCCACCTTCAACTCCTTGGCGAACGCCATCCGTGAAGAGATGAACGGAGCCATGGACCACGGAAACAGCAACGGCAGCGACAGCAGCCCCGGACGCTCGCCGCTGCCAGCTATGTGAGTGGCAGATACCGTCCGAGGCGGAAAACGTGTCGCATCTTCCGTTCCGGGCCTGCTTTCTGTGAACATAAACGATCGGGATGGGCAATGTGTGGGAAGACAACAAATCTACAAATGATGCAGCTTTGTGGGCGGGGTCATGACCTTCTGGCTGGCCTCCCACTGGGAAAGGGAACGGCGCCTTTGACATGTTTCTTTGTCCAGACCAACCGGGAAGAAAAGGCCGGAGCCTCTCTGCGATTTGAACAAGCCATTTAGAAAGGTTTCTTCCTGCGACTTTAAATGAGCCCAAATCCAAATTGTGTAAACACTCTCCAAATGACAGAGCGGCCAAGTGAGCTAACAGTTGGCTCGGACGCGGTGAAACGCGAGCCGCGACACATGAAAACGGCGTGGAGGAGCTGCCTAAAGAAAAACAACACGAAAGCAAAATTAGTCTGGAGGACATGATTCAAAGCTCTTGTGTAGGAAAGTCGCGGTTGGCCTGCGACCGCAGCCGCCAATTCACTTGTTGAGTAGGAGTGTCTGCTAAGTTGTTTGAAGCTTAAAATAATACGGCGCAATGCATGCTTTCCAGATGTGAGCGCAGACCGTTCGCTCGTGTGCTCCGCGGGAAGACTCGGGGATGGCCTCCCGAAATTCTGCCTGCTAAAAAAAAAAAAAAAAAAGGTGTAGCAACAAAGCTCAGGGCCAACTAGAGGAAAGTGCCATCCCTTATCACCGCGAACATACTGTAGCTGTGAGCATGGCTGTGGAACAGGAAAGGCAGAGACAGGATGGGTGTGCTGGCCTCAAGGCAGCCTGCTTCTCCCTTCTGCTTCTCTGCGTCTCGCTTGAGGCTCACACTCGCACTCTTTTCTTTTTTTTTCTTTTTTTTTTTTTTTTCCATAATTAAGTGTATATGCTTTGTGCCAAGGCGAAACTTGTTGAATCGGTTTTCTTTCGCGTTTTATCATATCCACATAAAACTTGGTTTGGCATTTGCAGTCGTACTCACATTACGTTTGCTGAATACAAATATGTAGCTTTTTTTTTTTTTTTTTTTTTTTTTCCATTTCTTTGGCAGTTGTAGGCAAAGCAACGTCATTTATGCAGCACATTTCATCCACAGGGCAACGCCATGTGCTTCTCGCAAGCAAAGGCAAAACACCGAAAAAGATTGACAAACAGAATAGACGAAGACAAAGCAAAGAGAACAAATGTGGCTTTTTAAAATGACTAACAGAGCCTCCATGGACAAACAAAAGGTTGAAAGACTTTTAAAAACAAAAGAAAGATATACAGTGGAATTGATTTTTAAAATTCATCATACTGGAGAAAAAAAATGGTGTGTTGAAGTTACTCCCCTTCAATTTGTGACGTAGTTGCACAAAATAAAATCATCTGGATCTGGACACATTGTTTGAGGAGATGGAGAGTCTACTTAAAAAAAAATTGTCTGGATCAGATGATTTAATTTCATGCTACCACTTAACAAACGGGAGTAAAGTCAACAATACCTTTTTTTCAGGGTTAGAGGCGTTTCTGTTCCGTTTGGGTGAAGCATCACAGCAAAATGGCGCTTCACCACGTTTGCTTTGAAAACTGCGCATCACGAATTCGACCCGAGTCTGCTGAGCCGTTCTTACGCAATGAGCATTTCCTTCGTGTCTTCGGGACCCAAACCATTCAGCGATTTACAGTCCAGGAGCAGAGCTTTCAAATTTACAATAAACAAACACCCATCCGTCATGCGAGAACCAATCTCCGTTTATTTTCTCGGTTCACTGCAAAAACAGGAACAACGAAATCCTATGCTCCACGGCAGAGGCGATTGTTCAGCCAAGATGTGAAATATCACCGCCGCTTATAGTGCCCAAATGAGCATCAGGTATCCAGAGAAGGCTAAAGACAAGCCAAGTGTTGAATCGGCACGCTGTTCAATGGGCTCGTGATAACAATTTCATGTTTGCCTTGCGGCCGCGGCCTCGCGCCTCAGGCGGCGGCAGCAGCACTTGTGGGGTTACTTTGATGTGAAAATGATCGAAAAGCTGACTTCACTTCCCCCCGCCTGTATTTTATTTTTTCCACATTTGCAACAAGATATGTCAGCTCATTAGCATACGGTGCGATTGCGATTGTGGCGCGTGGGCTTGAAGAAAAGAAGCGCGTGCCGGTTCGTCCCTTGTCAGTGCGGCGAAATGAGCCTGGCGCTCGCCGGTGACGCCGCTCCGCCTCTACAACAGCGGCCCGGCACCGCAGGTTAGCGCGCACCCGCAGCTGCCGCTAATTTTTTTTTTCCTGCTTTCTGCCACAGCTCACCGTCTCCCCTCGCGCTCTCTTCCTGCTCTGTTTGCGTAATGAGAAATTTGGCACAGCTCATCTCCTCAGTGGCTCTTTTGCCCAGACTGTGAGCTGAGGGGGGGGGTGGCGGCTCATGTTTTTGCCTTGTTTACAAGTGACAGCGTTATTATTCTCCTAAGGGCCCCGGTTTCTTATCGCCGAGTTGTGCCGAGCGTGCGGCTGCTCCCTTCGCCCGCCTTCCCTGCCAGCGCTTTTCTTCCCTTATTGACACTTGCTTGAAAATATGCATTAATTGCGGGGTTTAAAGCGCGCGCGGCGCTGTCTGAGCGCTCTGTTTGCTTGAAGTTGATTAATGATAGAAGCCGGCTCGGGGTCATCCTCGGGAGACCCGTCTCGCTGGTTGTGCATGTTAACGAGCAGGAAGGGGGGAACGCGGAGCGCGCCGCTGATCCGCCGCCACCGGAAGGCTGACAACGGCAGCCCACTCACTCGGCAGAGTCCATTCTCTCCCGTGGCCGTCTCGCGTGGTTAATCTTCCTCATTTATCAATTCTAAGTGAATACCCTGTTCTCGGTCGCCGTGAAAATGAAAGAGCGCGGAGCCGCGCCCGCATCGGAATACCTCAGAAGAAAGCTGAAATTATCATTGGCTCCAGGAGGGCTCCCCCGAAGATGGCGGGCGTTTTGTTTCCCTTCTTTACAGTCGGTGTGAAAGCTTCCGCAAAAGAGCGAAGTGCATTTTGTCATTTTGGTCCGCTCTGCGCTCTTCCAGGCACCACACCAGCATCAAAGAGGAACCACTGGACCCCGAGGACCACGACGGACCGCTCTCCCTGGTTACGACCGTCAACCACAGTCCCGATTTCGACCACCACAGAGATTACGACGACGACGACGACGACCAGGGCCATGACGACATGCTGTGAAGTTTGGCGCATCCGTCCGGGAGACAAACAATGAACAGCAAATCTCAGACGCCGATGGCCACCGTCGCCAAGTATCTTTTGAGTAGTGCCATATAAAAAATAAATAAATAAATAAAAAAAAACACATCGCAACACATAAAACTTTTCCTCCCCGGTCACTTTTTACTTTGGATCGGCGTCAAAAACGACGTTGATTTCGACTTTTGAAGACGGACGAATGGGCTCGGTACGTTGGCGACGCGCTCGCCTCACAGGTGAGAGGCCACAGAAGGGGACAAGAGACCCTCTCCACGCAGCCAGGATGGCGGACCGTGACAGGGTTACATCTACACCCCCCCACTCCCATCCCCACAACATGCCCGTCTCACGGCACATATTTTGACAGAGACCAAGTGACTGACTGACGTGTCATTTCGGGGGGGGTGCTTTCACTGCCTTCAATACATCGCAACGAGTCCATCTACTGTGAGAGAGGTTTGTTTGTTTTTTTCTCGCTTGGGGGACAGTTTGATCAACACGATGTCTTTCCATCAGCCAATGCTGTTCTTGATGTTGTCTTTTTTTTTCTTTTTTTTTTTGTCTTTTCTCGAAACTCATCAGACCTCATGTCCATGCTGTGGAGATTCTGCGTGTGTGTTCTGCACTTGATGATGAATGTTTATGATTTCCTCTGATGTTCTTTCGAAGAAAAAAAAAAAAAACACGTAAGAAGCAGAATGTCTGACACGGTGTATCATTTTTTTTTTTTATCATTTAAAGAAGAAAAATTGAAGCCTGAGCGTTTCCCCCTTTGACCGCCCCCCTTTCATGAAGTCCACCAGCGAGGCAGCATTCTGATGATGAAGGCGCTCTCTATGCATCAATGAAGTTTCATTGAACCTTTGAATACATGAGTGCAAAATTACACCGGTTCGGACGCATCCTTATGATGTTTCACTTTCAAAATGGCCGAGCACGTTGAGCCGCAAGGCAGTTTCTGATCACTTTCAAGCACCGGGCAGTTTCGTCGGGGGGGGGGGGGGGGGGGGGGGGAAGGAAAATGAAAACGGCAGGTGTGCCACCGGGCAGATCAAGATTCAGACTCATTCCGGAACACGTTTGCCAAGTGGATTTTTCCACTCGGCAATTTCTAACTTGGGTCCATCTTAAAGATAAAGATTCATTCCCTGTTTTGTTCCGTGTCGAGGCATGACTCGTTTGACCTGAGCGCAAGTCCACAGCACTTGAAATGTTTTCTTTCATTGAAGGGAAAAAGGGTCTGAAACATTCCGGTTTTTGTACCTCGGTGAGGAAGGTCTGAAGACACGCGTTTGAGATGGCGGTCTTATCTACTCGGTGAAATTCGAAACGCGGGCCAACCACTTTTGAATTTGTTCTTGTTTATTCCCGGTAGAATTGCAAGCGGTATTTATTTGGCGGTTGGGAAATGCTGAGTGCTCAATAAAAATTGTGTTGCGAAGCGACCAAAGAGATACCGTGCAACAAAATCACCAACCGGTGGAACGCGGCTCCTCCTTCCAGTTTCCGTTCCCATTGGGGTGTCCGCTGCGATGGAGTTTGGGGATGAAATCGAGCGAAAGGCTCCTCACGTTGCTGTTGCGCAATCAAGAGAGGCGTCACGAAAACGGCTGCGGCAGACACATATACACTCGGAAAAAAAAACAAAAAAAAACGAGGAGGCGGCTCTGACCATCTATTGCGACCAAATTACGGAGATTTTTATTCTTGAGAAGTGAGCGGAAGAGGCGATAAAGCGAGTCATGAAAAAAATTGATATTCCAGGGAATGGAGGGAAAATTTTAAAAAAAAGCTGTGAGACCAATGTTGGAAGGGTTCTTTCTGTCAAGCGGGCGGGCCGCACGATGTTTCCTTCATGGATCCCCTCGTCATGTCTATCATTTTTGAATGATTGCATGCCTGTTTTGAGATGTTTTTGCATCCTGACTGGGTTCCAGTGTACCCCGAACATTGACTTTATTGATTGTTTTACGTTTCTGTATTACTTTTTATATTAAAAAAAAAAAAAAAGAAACGCACTCCTGTCAACTATTAAGTACAAGGTACTTTGTGACAGTTACTGTTATCGATTACGCAACTGGAAAAAAAAAAAAAGTTTTGCGTTGAATTTACTCCATTTTATTTTGTTGCAAGTTGTTGCACGAAATGAAATCGTCTGGATCCAGGTACGTATTTGAAGCGGACTGCACATCTGCGGTCTGGATCCAGACGGTTTTATTTTGTACAGACGCTCGAGGACAGAAAATGGATTAGATTCAACACACGTTTTTTTTTTTTTTGTTTTTTTTCCCAGCGTACCTTTAATGCTCAAACGAGGCAAGTTCCCCAATCTGTGGGAGGGGTCAGGACCAGTCTGACAGATCGTGACAACGGGGTCAGACTTGCCCGCCAATCTCGATTGTTTTCTGTTGAAAACAGGAAAGGACGACACGAGAACGTTCTCAGCGTGTGTAGCTTGACGTTTCTAAAGATGACAACATGAGAAAGCAATCGATGGGAAATGATTCGTTGAGTTTGACTCCGTTGTCTGACATGACATGTTCAGTCTGATCCCGTCGAAACAAAATGGAGAAAATCAATGGAGCTCATTTAGGTTTGTGTCAGTTGAGATCTCATCTTGCACCTCGCCTCTCTCGAAAGGATACATTTGCGCCGTTGCTTCATCCCGACGACTTTGTATCGGCCGTGCGGAAAAACTGCTGTACGTATTTGGGATATCAAACTGCGCTGCACAAAAAAGTCAGAGAAAATCGTCAAGGCAGATGTGGGGAGCAGGTGGGGGAGGGAATCTTGTCCGCCATTTTGGATTTTCAACTGTAATACGAGTTTTCTCCCTTTTTATTTCTTTGACTTTAACATTTTTGTACAGACGCTGTCCCTTTTTTTTTTTTTCTGTTTTTGATACTTCATTTTGATGGTCTCTCCACTGCCTTCTGCGCTGAAGGCGGCCGCGCAGCCGTACGTCCTCTCGAAGACGGTGATGTGTGGCATGACAAAATCGCGGCTTGCAGGGAAGGGCCTTCAGGTTGAAGCGGTCCGTCCAAATCCAAGGCTGCATCACACTCATCATATTTTTGATGGGGCTCATAGGAAAAAGACAAATAGGCGGTGTCCAGACGTAAAAGGTGGAAAGACTATTGTTACAGACTTGTCTTCTTTGTTTTGGGGTTTTATTTTCCAAGAAAAAAAAAAAAATCATCAGCGGTGCATCCCTGAGTCGCCCTTCTCATCTTTTTTTTTCAGATTGAAGGTTTCATGATTGGTTGGACAGAGGTCACCGCTCTTTGTCAGCTTGTCTTGTCGCCTCACTCTGAGCTAAGAAGCCATTATTATTATTTTTTTTTTTTTGCCATCCCCCGTCAGCCATTCGGCCCCCTGCAATTGCCTTTTGTGCAGAGGGCGGCTGGCGGGAGGGGCCTCGTTCTCATCTTGCAGTCGTGCGTCTTTAATTTATTTGATGGTGAACCATGTCTTTTCCTTGTTTTTTTTTTGTTTTTTTTTTGTTTTTTTAATAGAGACATATTTTTGCGCCTCTCTTCATGAGTGCGTCACCGCCTCATTCCTTGTCTTAACTGATGCAGACTCTGTTGTCGTCAGTGCCAACTACTGACGTGAGCGTTCTAAACATGCAATAAAATGCTGGTTGCTCTTAGTCTGTTTCTTCTCATTTTATGTTTGTCTGCACCGGGTTTTCAGTTCACGGACACAAACTTGTTGTAATAGTGACATAGACTGCCAGGGGCACACAAAAAAAAAATCTTTCAGGAGTGATCTTTATCCTCCAAATGGTGCCTACACAGGCATGCAAAAGATATCACAAGAATAAATATTTAGTTTTGTATTTGGGGGGGGGGGGGTATGAATATGATTCAGTCAGGAAGCCTTACAAAAAAAAAAAGAAATAATAATAAACTAGCAGCGTGTGTTTTCCCGAGACCCGCCAGGATAAATGCCACTGGCCAGTCTGAAAGTAATGCACAAACTCATGATAAAGAATACAAGAATCCAGAATTTATCATGACAAACATGCGCCTGATTGATGATGACGAATCTGGAATTCCAGCGTGACAATCGGCAAAATGAGCATCTGTCCGATTTCGGCAAACCTGATCTGCGCCAAGGTGCATCGGTATTATCTCACGCAGGTCCACAGGCGAAAGCGTTTATTGAACCGGAAGGTTTGACAGTTGCCGATGCGCCCGCGGTTACAGGAGGACCCGAAATATCACGGTTGTGCCACCAGGTTGAAGTTGGCCACTATTATTTGCGTTTGTCATCGCAACTCCCGATCTCTGCCGCAACATGAAATAATTTCACCATGAAAACGAGGCACTTTTTCCCAACAGCAATTTCGGTCACGGCATTTGATAAGTTGTAAATTGTGGCGGCGTAAAAAAGTGCGGGAAGATTAGCGTGTGCGTCTTGGTGAGCGCGAGCGCTAGCTAATGCCGATGACCAAGACTTATAGAAGACGGTATTACGAGCGAGGCGGCGCAGGTCACGCTTGGCCACTAAACAGGAGGCAAAGATCAAGTGGAAGCACTTTTCATCTTGTGAAACAAGCAATTACAAACACTTGCATTGATTTGTTCAAAAGCTTTAGGTGACATAAATTGTTTCTTGCTTAGCTTAGAGCGCCAACACATAAATGTCAAGGGATTCATTCATCAGGGCTTTTGAGCAGGACGATTGAGTGGTGGGGGGGATAAAATAAATCAAATGCCGAGCTCCATCGTCACAGTACGTGCTGCACGATTAGGCTTCCACGGTTGACCACAGTTTGACTCGCCGCTGGATCCAACAAGAGTAAAGACAAATTGCAAATTGGAAAAGTTGCTCTGAGTGATTGTATCAAATAATAGGAATAAATACACAAATCAACAAAACATTTTATAAAAAGACACATTGGAGAAACACATTACAGAACGGCAAAATAAAACAGCTGATGATATACTGACAGACAAACCTAAGCCTCCTTTGAAACCTTGACCCTCGTTTTTAAACCCTACTTGGAAACCCCCAACCCGAGTTTCAAACCCTACTTTGAAGCCCAAACCCTGCTTTAAAGCCCTACTGTGAATCCTGACTTTGTGGCGTGGCAATGAACCG